CAGTCTTTTGTCCTCAAATACCCCTGCCCCCCTGTCCCTTGTTCCCTTCGGCTCCCTTGTCCTCTATCTCCTGCCTTTGTCTCTTATTCCCTGCCCTTTGTCCCTCTGGAGCAAATAAATCTCCTTGGTGCTGAGAACTTGTCCTAAATCAATACTGGTCCCTTTCATCACCCTTTCAAATAACTAGGATATAAAGCTGCTCCTCCAGGCATGGCTTCTTTTTTAAAACTTGTTTTAATTTTTGTTCTTTTAATGTATGAGTGTTTGCCAGCATCCATGTCTGTGCATGACATGTATTCCTGGAGGCCAGAAAAGGGCATCAGATCCCCTAGAACTAGAATTACAGATGGTTGTGAGTCACCATATGGGTGTCTAGAATTGAACTTGGATCCTCTGGAAGAACTATCAGTGCTCTTAACCACTGAGCCATGTATCCAGGCACCTTGTTTTGAGATAGAATCTCTCTATGTATCTCTTGTTTTTGTGGAACTCACTCCGTAGATCAAACTGGCCTCAAACTCAGAGATCTGCTGCCTTTGTCCGGAGTGCTAGGATTAAAGGTGTGTGCCAACATGTCCAGCCTCTTCTTAAGTTGCTTTTTTGTTTTTGTTTTTGTTTTTTCAAGACAAGATTTCTCTGTGTAACAGTGCTAGCTACCCTGAAACTAGCTCTGTAGATCAAGCTGGCCTCGAACTCACAGAGATCTGCTTGCCTCTACCTCCCAAGTGCTGGGATTAAAGGTATGAGCCACCACCGCCTGGCTCTTTTCAAGTTTTTATTTTATGTTATTTTTAACATTTTACTTCTATTTTTTTAAGATTTATTTATTTATTATGTGTAGTATTCTGCCGCATGTATCCCTGCATGCTAGAAGAGGGCACCAGATCTCAATATAGATGACTATGAGCCACCATGGGGTTGCTGGGAATTGAACTCAGGACCTCTGGAAGAGCAGCCAGTGCTCTTAACCACTGAGCCATCTCTCCAGCCCCCTCTTTTTAAGTTTTTAATTGACAAAGTATTTATAGATATTTTTGGGGTTCTATGTGACATTTCAATACATGTATACATATGTACTGCTCTGACCGGGTAACTGACATATCTTCCACTTCAGGCATGATCATTTTCTTTGTGTTGGTGTGTTCACTATTCTCTCTACTAGCTATTTCGAAATACATAATTATTGTCAACCATAGTTATCCTATAAGTGAGTCTTTCTAACCTACTAAAAGTCCCTGCTTTTCCTTTTTCTGATGGGCCTGGGACTTGCTATAGCTGCCTCTGCCTCCTGAATGCTGGGATTGCAGCAGTTCTGAACCTGTGGGTCAAGACCCCTTTGGGGTCAAAATCAGGTATCCTGCATATCAGATATTTAAAGTAGCAAAATTACAGTGATGAAGTAGCAAGGGAATAATTTTTGGCTGGAGGTCACCACATCATGAGGAACTATATTAAAGGGTCCCAGCATTAGGAAGGTGGAGAAACACTGGATTAAAGATATGTGCTGCCGCGCTCAGCCTTGTCCTTGTTTCTCTAAGCTCCCTGGCTCTATGCCATCTCCCTTCTCAAGATCTTGGCTGCTGTGGGGATAGGAGCCATGCATACTGTTCCAGTAAATCTTGCTGCCTGCTTCCAAGAAAAGCCCAGAAGGAGGGACAGGAGTTAGGTTTATCTACAAGTCAATTAAAAGTAATCTGAACCAAAGTGTTAGCTATAAAAGAGCAGGCCAGCTTCTGAAGATTAGAGGCTGGTGTTCAGGAAAACAGCTGCCAGGGAAGCTTCAGACAGAGCAGATGTTGGTGGCTTCGATAATCCACATGGACCTGGATTTGGTCTGCAGCAGAGGTGGAAGGAGAGTACTATGGAATCCATAAAGTTGTCCTCTGGCCTACACATGCTCATTATTGCATGCACACCCATGCACACACACACGGAGTAATTCTCAAAAAACAACAAAACCAAACCTACTCTTTCTCCTTGAAAACAAACAAAAATTATGGCGTCCTGAGCAATGATGTAGTGTCATATTTTGCTACACAGGGCATTTGAAGCCTCGAATGAGTAAAAAGGCTGGGGATAGCTTAAGTGGTAGAGTGCTTGTCTTGCATTGATCTCCAGCAACATTACACACACACATTAACCCAGCTCCTCTACTGAATTCCTTAGAGGCTATGACTGAGGGTGCCTGCTTGTTCTGTGAATCAGCGATTTCAAGGCAGATGTGGTGTCAGGCAAGTCTTTCTCCATATTAACCACCAGGACTCATGGGCCTATGAGGGGAACTGAAGCCAGGTTTTTTGTTTTACTGTTTTCCTGGTTTTTTTGTTGTTTTTAGACAAGGTCTCTTAACCCTGGCTGTCCTGGGTCTCAATATGTAGACCAGGTTTGCTTCAAACAAAAATCACCTGCCTTTGCCTCCCAAATGCTGGGAATAAAGGCTTGTGCTACTATGTCTGGCTTCCATGTTCATTTATTTACTTGTGTTTTTGAGGCAAGGTCTCACTATGTAGTCCTGGCTGGCCCAGAGATTGCCATTTGACAAAGCAGGCCTCACTCAGAGCTTTACTGCCTGTGCTTCACTGCTGGGACTGAAGACATGCACCAAAATAAGCCCAGGTGTTCTTTACCATCTACTTTAAAACTGGAACCAACAATGTTCCTGTCAATCAGAGAACCTGAAAGAGTAATGACCCTCAGGCTTTCAAAATTGCGGTTTTTTGCACATGTGTATATATTAGAGGACAACTTGTGGGAAGCTATCTCCATCCACTATGTGGGTCTTACTTGAAACAAGTCAGACCTAGCCTGGAGCAAAACTGCCTCAGCCTTCATGATGCTGGGAGGGTGGATGGGTGTTACAGGTACATACTAGCATGCCCAGCTTCAAGAAATCTTATCAACTCTCCTCTTTCTGCATTATCTCAGAGCAAAGGTTCACCTCCTAGTTACATTTCCCCACAAAGCTTTAGGAGTATATCTCATCAGCAATCAAGAGAAGCTGGGACCACAAACTACAAATGGCCTTTT